GAAAAATTCCCCTTTGCAAAGAAGCCCTCAGTTCTCCCTCCCTCCCTGTCTCCATCTAAATCCAAGACCTGGACAGATGTGATGGCAGGAGCCCTGCTTGGGAACTGTTATCTCAGCCGCTCCACTTGTGCTGCCAGGGTGAGTCCTGGGCTGTGGACCTGGAGAGGCTGGCAAGTGGTGCAACAGCACTTTTCTCCCCCTCTCCTCTGATCCGATCCATGGGTAGAGTCTATTGGGTGCCAGCTGATTCCGGTTCTCGTGGTGCAGGCAGTTGCTGGACTGACCTCTCAGGACAGCAAACGATGCCCCCCCTGTCCCAGCAATCATGGCCCATCCTGGCCCTGGACTATCACCACAACCCCTGAAAGCAAAACAGCCCCTTCCCTTCCCCAGCCCCGTCCCAGGGTATTCTTAGTAGAAGAATGGAGCTGGAAAGCCAAGGGCAGTGTACAGTAGGACTCTATTTAGGCATCCACAGTTTGGGAAATTCTCTCTGGGTCACAGGCTTAGCAGTGTGTCAGTACTGGTGGAAGTTGCAAACTCTTCCTGGGGTGTCTGCTCATCATAATGGAGGCATAGGTACCTGAGTCATTAGGGATATGGGACCAGAATGCCTCTCCTGAAAGGGAAGCATGGGGCAGGGGGTGCAAGACACAGCTAGGACAGCAAGTTTCTTATCCCAGAAATGTCATTACTTAAGTGCAGACAAGGTTCCTTGGGTGAATTTGATATCTTTTATTAGACCAACCCAAGCGCTACTTCCACAGTGACCCAGTGCTGAAATGTCTTTTCTGTAAGGGAAGGTTGGAAGAAGGGAGCATTGCAAGAGCCCTGCCAGCATTCCCCAGTGTAGTCAGTCCCTGCCTACTCTAGGAATAGTCCATGTCCTTGTGGGAACCAGGGTCTCTGGACCCTGGTTTGTGAGCGGAGCAATTGCCCACCACAGTGCCTGCAGAGGGACCTAAGCCCTACCTCCCTAGCAACCCTGCTCTGCCCTGTTGCAGGTGCTGTCCACCCGCAGCACGTCCAGGATCCATGGTCTCCGCTGTGCCAGGTGGAAAGCAGCTGCATATCTCCTGCCCCGGGCGGGGGAAGGCTCCAGGCAGGGGAATTGCTGTAACTCCCTTGGTGTGTCTGTGAGTGCCCAGGAGAGTGATGACAGAATCCAAAACACTTCTAGTTATCACTTCATTTTTATTGCTGAAAGTTGCAGCCTCGTAAAAAGGCTCTGTCTCCCTTGTCTGTAGACTCCGCATCTGTGCACGGGAAGCCAGCTCTGTGTGGCTGG